TTTTTTTTATATTATTTATTTTTTACTGAAAACCTTCTTATTGGCTGTTTCATCCAAACATGCTCGCAAGTGTCGCATTTGAAATATTTTTTGATTACACTTCAGAAGGAGTTATCAGAATTCCTGACTCTTAAGTAACTTTACCATAATAGAGCATTTTGCAGGAGTCCATTGATCATTCAGTGACAGGCAAAAAGCCGCAAAATCCTCTGCTTAAAGGTTATTATTACGTATGAAGCGAATTTACCGTNTTTTACTGAAAACCTTCTTATTGGCTGTTTCATCCAAACATGCTCGCAAGTGTCGCATTTGAAATATTTTTTGATTACACTTCAGAAGGAGTTATCAGAATTCCTGACTCTTAAGTAACTTTACCATAATAGAGCATTTTGCAGGAGTCCATTTATCATTCAGTGACAGGCAAAAAGCCGCAAAATCCTCTGCTTAAAGGTTATTATTACGTATGAAGCGAATTTACCGCAAGAGAGGTTTGGCTTAGATTTTATACATACATATATGTATCCATAAGAAGCATGTGTACTTGGCTGGCTTGGTGCCCGAAAAAAGCTACGCTAACTCCAGTACATTTTAAATCATTTCCTTCGTTTCGGCCAAAAGGACATATGTATTTTCGAATATCATGATCCAATTATTTACAGCAAAAATAAATGCACAGCATTTATCCGCCTAACTAATCCACAGTTCTTGACTAACCAAGCGGTTTCGAACTTGTGTTTTAAGAATGAAAAGCCGTCACATGATGAAAAGACGGTTTTGTTTTGCCTTTTTTGTTCATCGGAGAAACGTACAGTCGTCAGCATCCAACCAGTTATCGAACTAGTCTGCCTTCGCGCCAGTGTTATGCCAAATAATCTACAAGAATATTTACTGGATAATTTAATTAGCTTTTCACTGCAGGGTACCAACTTAGATTGTAACTCAATGGGTTCCCACTAAAATATGCACTCATAAATGAATTTTCACTTCGACGTGGGCGTCTGTACATATGTATGTGTGAATTTGATTGAAGCTCTACAATAATTGCAGCACATTCCGTGTGAATAGTGCATGCAAATGANACTAGTCTGCCTTCGCGCCAGTGTTATGCCAAATAATCTACAAGAATATTCACTGGATAATTTAATTAGCTTTTCACTGCAGGGTACCAACTTAGATTGTAACTCAATGGGTTTCCACTAAAATATGCACGCTAAAAATGAATTTTCACTTCGACGTTGGCGTCTGTACATATGTATGTGTGAATTTGATTGAAGCTCTACAATAATTGCAGCACATTCCGTGTGAATAGTGCATGCAAATGGTGTACGTACAAGTACAAAAGAGCAATGCTCATTAGCTTCAAATTACATACGTTTGACCCCACATGAGCTGCATTGCTGTCGGCGAAGCTCTGCTTGTGCCAAGTTAAAGTTAACGAATGTATGTTTGTATATATATATATATAGAGTCTGCTGCTTTGCTTGCAGAGCGCTTTTGTGAAGCAGTTTACTTTTTTCGGATTGCGCTGTAGGTAGGTATTTGCAATTAGAGGAGAGAGGGCAAGACAAAAAAAAAACTCCAAAGGATATGTAGTAAAGGAAGTGAAGTGAGCAGCGGAAAGCGTGAGGTGTAAAATAAAATGTAAGAACTCTAACTTTCATCGGCAGTAACGAACGCATAAAGCGACGAAAATGCATGGACGGCTTGAAAGGTTGACTGCTGCTAGGCAGTAAAAATTAGTACGCCGCCTACTGCGCCTTTGTGCTGTCGTTTCAATTCTGACACTTACACAGCCCCTCGATTGAGCAGCTTTTTGGCTGTTCGGCGTTTTTTGTAAATACATACACAAATTGTAGTCAGAATTAAATTTTTTTCGTTGCAACCTTTGTGCATTTACTCGCGTAATTAGCGTAGTTAAGTTCGAAAAAGTTTACTACAAATATTATACACATAAAATAGTAAAGTATTTGGAGCAATATAAAAACATCTTTCCAAAGGTACGCTTGGTTATACCTGCTGCTTGGAGCATGATGTAAGATGAGGGCTAGGCATTTCAATTTCCTACCATGTCACAGCATACCTGTAGGCACTAGTTATACTTCGTCTGATCTAGTACGTCATCAAAAGTGGGATCGGTTTTCTGTTACTGGATATTGAGTTGACAATAGCCTTTATGAGTTCGGAATACAACTGGCAACGATACTAAATACAAAGAGTACTTCGACCGATGCACGATATTTCCGCAAATAACTACTATATCAAAATTATTAAAAGTTGGAATGTGAAGTAATGAAGAATTATGAAATTACATACATATATATATAATAGTGTTATACAATTTTTGGAAAATGGGCGTGGCATCACCCACTTATGATGAAATGTTGTATATCTGTAGTCCCTTTAGATACCAATCGCCACCTAACTCGGTGCGACCATTGAATAGAGTCTCACTAAGAAACCTTTTGAAAATTTTTTAAATCAGGCAAGAACCACAGGCACCTCCCATATTACGCCAATTTACTAAAGTACGAGAACTGCGATAAATTAATAACTACTTAAGACAATTCACTCAATATCGACATATGTAATAGCCTCTTAGCAGAAAATGCTACTGAAAGGTCTATTCTGTGCTGGTAATAAAAATTTCGTAACCGGTAGATAAAGTTCCAGTCAATTTTTAAACCCTTTCCGCGTTCTGTGTACTCTTCTTATTGGTAAATATTGTTACCATCTCATAAGCTGGTAAGAAAATATTGCCAGAA